AAGGGAGGGAGAGGCCTAGCAGAACTGCGGTGGCAAAACACCAGCCGCCCAGTCCCGGCAAGTGTCGATGTGAGAGCCCAATCATCCCTTCCTCAGGGCAAGGTGCAGACCACGCAGACTGCTGCGCCGGCAGCACCCAGTACAGCTCCAGCCCAGGTCCAGGTCCCAGTCTCTCACCGGTAACGCAGCACAGCCAGCGCAGCCAGCGCAGCCAGCGCAGCCAGCGCAGCCAGCGCAGCCAGCGCAGCCAGCGCAGCCAGCGCAGCCAGAAGAAATGCCCACCGCCCACATGCCGACGCTGATGCCACCGACACCAGCATGGAAACACGGGAGCACAGAACACCGTCCAGGGGCCGCCCGAAAACGACCCCCCCTCAGTTAGTCGCTTCTCCGGCTTGCCTGATAATTGATCTCTTGCCAGGACTCTCCTTCGTTCATATCCGGGGTCTCAGTCCATAAGTTTGTTGGTTTTTTCGTTCTTTGCAAGCCCAAGCGTTTAGCTTGGGCAGCCATTTCCCATCCTGCACATGCGCACTAAGATTTTAAAATATTCATAGTTCCTGTAAACTTTTGAGTACATGCCCAAAGACAATACTTTAAAATAAACATTTAATGTGTTGAAATGAAATATGACAGAGTAGAGACAAAAAATTAACAAGTTACAGAGATCAGGGAGATGCTAGGGCCATTTGCCTCTTAGTGATGCTTCAGAGAAACAGCTGTGTGACATCTACTCAGAGCTAATGTGAACCAGCTGCACTACAAACAGAAGAAACACAACCAAGGACAAATATTTTCAAAAGCTCTTATTTTTCACTCTTCACAGCTGTCCAGAGCAGTTCAAGTTTACTGACTGGCATGCCTGCCAGAGGTAAAGTGACAAGCTTTTGTAGCCTGAAGAATAAAATTGGAGTATGTGGCCTACAACCTTTTCTAGTTAAAAATGCCTAAAAGAGAAACAGGGAAGATCTGTCCACAGGAGAAGGTAGAGGTCAAAGAGCCCATCTACAAATGTCCCTCCAAGTCACTAAGTCCTCAAGCTACCCATGGAAATGATGCCAGAGACAAAGCTCTGCTTATATGAAAGGAGAGAAGCCCTGCTATTACTAAGGCTGCTATAGATTATTCCTTATGCAAGAAAACATTTATGCACTTGTAACTCCTTCAGGGGTGAGATCAGATGTTTCCAGTCATTGTGCCTGTTTTAAAAATTGGGAAATCTATTTTCCCAAAATTCAAGCTACAGCCCGGACATGCTATTATTAAAATTATTATTAAATTTCTATAATAATGGGTGTTTGGGTTTATTAAGACAAATTAAGGCTAATCATGTGGATGGACAGGATGGCCACAAGTGGATACAAATCAGAATCAGAATGATTCCTTATCAAACTACAAGGAATGGGGGGAAATGCAGAGAAGATAGTTGAAGAATATTAAGGGAAGTGAGCGTGTTTAGCTTAAAAAAAGAGAAGATGAAGAGTACATGATAACAATTTTCCAATACTTGAAGGACTGTCTGTCAGCATTACTTCATTCAGTAATCAGGAAAGAAAACCACTGGACTCAATTTGAATTGAAATCAAGTGTACTTTTACTAATTATAAATGAACAG